AGTTGCTCCGTGGCATGTGGGATCTTCCCAGCCCATGGCTCGAACCCGTGTTCCCTGCATTGGCAGGTGGATTCTTAACCACTACGCCACCAGGGAAGGCTCTCTTAGTTTTTTTTTTTTAATTTTTTGTTTGTTTTTTGGGGGGTTTTTTGCGGTACGTGGGCCTCTCACTGCTCTGGCCTCTCCCGTTGCGGAGCACAGGCTCCGCCCGCTCCGCGGCACGTGGGATCCTCCCGGACCGGGGCACAGACCCGCGTCCCCTGCATCGGCAGGCGGACTCTCAACCACTGCGCCACCAGGGAAGCCCCCCTTCGTGTTTTTAATTGGCATTTCCCTGGTTACAGATGAGTAGAGCATATTTCCATCTCTTGGTTGGTCTTTGATTTTCTTCTTTTGTGAAATGTCTCTTCAAGTTGTTTGCCTACCTTCCTGCTGGGTCGTCTGTCTTTTTCTAAATAATATACAGAAAATAAGTTTTTAAAACATATTTATGTTATCTTCTGTATATTATTTTACCCGTTCAGCACTTTTTCACTCTCTCTCTGGTGTTGTGATAAGCAGCCTTTCTAAAGGCTTATTTGGTTCCCCGTCCAGCCTCAGTGAGGACCCAGGCTCAGCCCCCCTCACTGAGGACCCAGGCTCAGCACCAGCTCTTGGGGGAGGCCCTGGGGGAGGAGTTACCCTGGGAAGACCCCCGAACCCCGCTGTGCAGCAGGGCAGCCGGGAACCAGCCACAGGGATTGCCTCAGAGCCGAGGTGGGCACTGAGCTCCCCATGGACCCCCTCCGTCCGGACTCTTGGAGCTGCTGGCCTGAAGGGCCGGCCCTGAGATGGGCAGCACGACGGGCTGTGGCAGACACCCAGCGAGTGTGGAGCCCCTGCCGTCCCGGGGGCTGTGGCCTGGGTCCCTGGGACGGTGCGGGGCAGCAGGAAGGCGGCCTGGGTGAGCCGTCCTCCCCAGCACGACCCAGAGGGACCCTGGAGGTGTGGTGCTTGGCTTCGAGGACCCCTGCCTCGGGGCCAGGTTCCCTGAACACCTTCCAGGACCCTCCCCCCTGACCAGGAGCCACTCTGAGGTGACAGGGGTCCCCGCCAGAGAAGGGATCTGCAGGGGCCGGGTGGTCTCCCTGCAGGTGACCAGGGCCAGAATGGAGGTCCACTGTGAACCCACGTTGTTAACTTGGGCCTCAGTCACTTGGAAGTTGGGGGAGGCTGGTGTGGAATAGTCCTGGGTAGAGGTGCTTTTCCTATCCAAGACTCATCTTGCACCCCTCGCCCCCCGTACCACAGTCTCCTAAAGTATGAGACTCAAGCCTGAGGGTCCCTTCCCTGGTGGGAGAGCAGGGCCCACAGCGGGACCGGGTACAACCTGCAGCCTCAGAGCCCCAAGCCTGCCTGGGGATGGCGGGAAGGCAGGTCTCAGCCCACGGCGTGGTGCTGCACCTTCTGCCCAAGTCCTCGTGAGAGGGGACAGGCCCTGGGGTGACGGGGACCCCACAGCCAGCCCAGGCAGGGGTCTTAGGGTGCCGTGACAAGACCGTCAGGGGTGGACACGGGCTCTGCCCCCCGTTTCCACACGTTCACACCGGTTCCCGAGTGCAAACCTCGTGCCCCTGAACCACCTCCTCCTGGCTGCCCGGCCCTTGAGGCTGCCCAGGAGCCCAAGAGGAGGGCGAGGCAGAGTCCTGACCAAGGCCCCTCCCTGAAGGATGGATGGTCTGCTGCTCCTCCATCTTCCAGGCAGTGGCCTGAGTTCAGGACCTGGGCGGGAAGCTGTCTGCCCTTGACAGGCGAGGCCTCGGGCTTGCTGGGAACTCACAGCCACAGTCAGGTTCCCTGATGGAGGCCGGGCTGCCAGGAAGGGTGTCTCCCTGGAGAGAGGAGGGTGCAGCCAAGCCTGGCCCACACTTCCAGGTCCAGCGGGCCTCTTGAGCCTGCAGTGATGTGCCAGGCTGGGGGCCAGGAGGTCCCCCTGCAGCAGAAGGGCTGCAGAGGGTGTGGGTCAGTGCTATGTGCCCCCCCTGCCCCCCAAGGCAGGCCCTTGAGAGTACCTGGAGGTGCCCATTGCAGGGTGCCCGGGGCATGAAGGACCTGATGGTCATTCCCAGCTCTGCGCTCTGTGACCAGGGCCATGGAACAAACTGTCTCTGACTGTCCCGCCTGGAGGGCCTGCTCTGGGCATCCCTGAGTTCCCCGAGACCACCCTGCTAGGCCCCCAAGCGCCTGTTGATATCACTGAGGACGAAGGTGGCTCTGGCCATCTGGCCACCCCTGGGGGCCTGGAATGCCGGGGGTGCTGCCCCTGCCCCTAGAGGCCCCAGCCGAGTCCCCCAAGCCCCAGGTGGGCGGGGCTGCCTTCAGGGCGGGCAGACTAAGGTCCTGGACGGCAGACCCCAGCCTGCACGCCTGTCGGGGGACCCCGGGACGCAGCCCTGACCAGGACGCAGGAAGCCGTAGCTCGCTAATCTCACAGGAAAATGCTGCGACTCTTCTGAGAGACCCACTCGTCAGGGCGCATGCTGCCCCCAAAAGGAAGAGGCACCTCTGAGACCACTGGCTGTGGACTGGGGTCGAGGTGAGGGCCAAGGGCGTCGTGGGGTGCCCGCCTTGTGGTCCTGCGGGACACGCATCCGTGTTCGGCCTCCGGGGCGCGGGGCGGGCCGGTGCCGTCCCGAGGAGGGGCCTCCTTCCTCTCTTGACGGGTGGACTTGGGGTGAAGGACTGTGCTGTGCACGCCCTGTCCTTTGTTTCTCCCTTTTTTGTGCCTTCTCTGGCTTTAGTAAGCATTTGCTATGGTTCCATATCTTTTCATCCCCCAGCTGCCAGCTGCACTTCTTTGTGAGATTCTGGGCGGCTACCCCGAGTCTGGGTGCCCACTTGCACCTGCCGCACGTCTGCCTGTGAACGCTCGGCTCCAGGGTGGGGTGAGCGGGCACCTTAAGCCGGTGTTCCCAGGCCCTGCGCCCTTGACAAGCCGGAATGGCCAGCACGTTGCTGGCGTTATTGTTTTGACCAGCTTTCTATAGGAATGAAAAAAACAGAGGTTTTTCTCTAATTTTGTTATGTTTGAAAAACTCGGCAAAACACTGAGAAATGTTTTCTACTTGCTCGGTCAGGGCGCCTGGATGCAGGTCTCCAGCCTCCGCTGGGCCCTCTGTCTGCACTTAGCAGTGGGTGTGAGTGTGCATCCCGGTCTGGAGATGAACCCCACTTCTCACCGCCTGCCCTGTGCACCCCAGACTCAAGTCAGGCAACTCCTGAGGATCCCTGTCGGATGCTATCTTCCCCGTGTGGGGTTCCAGGGGCTGCAGCCCCACCTGGTTGGAGCCCCCGGTCCAGCGGCCAAGCAGGGTCCCCTCCCCTCAGGGAGTTGGAGCGTGGGTGCCAGGAGAGGTGGCGGGTGCAGGAGAGGACGCTCGCTGGCAGGACCCCAGGAGCCACTGACCCTGCTGGGACGGGCCCTTGCCCCAGAGGCCACCCTAGCCCACGTTGGCAGCCTGTCGCTCCATCAAGGGCCCTGGGGTCTCCCAAGCCTGCTCAGCCCCCTTCCTGACTGCCCACAGCCTGCACCACCCCCTGGGCATGTAGACGCTCTCTGGGCGGGAGGGAGCACCCCCAGGCGGCCAGCATGGGGGAGGGGAGCTGCATGTGTGCCCCTCCCTCAGGGCAGGCCCCTCCAGCAGCCGTGTGGCCCCGCCCCACCCCGGGGCAGGGGGCTGCGTTGGCTCCTCCGCCAGCCTCTGGGAATACTCTCTGTAGGAGCGGGAGCCCCGCCCCAAGACAAACACGGCTGCCTTGTGCTGGCGAGGGGCACACACCCCTCCTGGGCACGCCGGGCAGCTCGCCAGGGAGCCCTCCTGGACCCCGTCCTCGCCGCCACCTGAGTTGCTTCCTGCTTTTCGGGAAGGCTCAGGCCAGCAGCATCTCCCTGGGGTAAGGGCTTCCCTGTGGGGCCCAGCGGGTTGGGGACCAGAGCAAGTGTCTCTAACCCTTGAAACTGGGCCGCTGGGGCAGACCCAGGCCCAGAGCTTGAAGCCATGGAGGGGAGGCCTTACAAGCAATCCTCTTGTCTGCAGGATGCATCCATTTAATAGAAGTTTCCAGCACTGAGCGTGCAAAACCTGTCAGAAACAGTCACACAGGAACCGCGGTGGTGCCCTGAGTCCCTCCCTCCGAAGGAGAAATGTCCCTTGCGGAGGCCTGGGCCAGTAGCCCAGCGGCTGAATTGTGCTTCAGGCCTGGTGGTAAAAGGTCAGATGGCGCGGCTGCGAAAGTTCAGCGTAAAAACAGAGGAAAAGGCCGTTCATCTGATTCTCTTCCCCAAAGTCAAGGGCCGCTGTGGGGTCTCACAGCAGCCCCGCCTCCCTCCTAACGAGCCCAGGCTGCTGGCACCGCTCCAGAGCCCGCCCCGCCCCTGCCAGGGGCTCGGCTGCGCTGCAGACCCTCTTGCTTTCCATTTCTTTCTGGAAAAGGCTCCCTTCGCTTGCCTGCCTCACTGTTCCGGAGACCCTTGCGGCCCGACTCTGGGCCAGACCCTCACAAGTAAGACCACAGGGGACCCACAGGGCAGACAAGGGTGGCCCACCGCCCCGTGGCTTGGCTGAGAGTTGTGGGCAAGGCCCAGGAATCGATACCAGCCGTGGCCGTGGAAACGGGCAAGTTCAGGGGCTGCAGTGTGCTCTCCTGCTCCGGCGCGAGCCCCCGGCCCGGGCCTCTGCGGTCCAGCCTGGCTCCTGTCCCTGCACTGCGGCCAGACCCGGTCACGAGTTGCGGTGCATTTGTGCAAAGAGCCAGGGATTGTATAGATTTGTAAAAACAGGTTAAAAAGGTTTCCCACCAGCATCTGGCAGTGCCCGGGGCAGCCGCGGCCCTCAACGGGTCCAGTCCCGGGAGCAGCTCTGGGCTGGGCGGCAGGCGGGGGTCGGGGCCCTGCGCTCATGCATCACGCGGCTCACGGACCCTGGCAGGACGAGGTCAGCCCGGAGGGCTCCACACGGCACTCAGAACTGCGTCTCGTCCCGCGTCTCGGGGTTGCAGGAAGCCAGCTTGTTGCTGCAGCTGCTCTTCCGGCTCTGGGAGGTGCTGGCCACGTGGGCCAGGGGGTCGGAGCGGATGAGATACCTGCGGGGAGGGCGGGAGGTCCCTGATGTCGTCCTGCGCCTGGGAGGCTGGGCTGGACGCCCACGCGTCAGATGGGCAGGTGTCTACACTTGTCCGGGGACCCGGTACTTACACAATGTCGTTGGGCTCCAGCCGTGTGTCCGGTGGAGGGTTGATGAGCACATAGGAGAGGGTGTTCTGGTGGTCGTTCATCTCGTCTGCGGAGACAGGGCCCAGCGCACGGTCACCACTCAGCACCCCCCCCCCCCCCCCCCCGCCACTCCAAGTCCAGATGAACTGCTCAAATTCCTAGGGGAAAGGCTCTATAAATTGTGTGTGTGTATACATATGTATGCCCCCCCCCCCCCCACCTCCACCTCCGCTCTGGGGGGCCCCGAGGAGCTGGCGGCTCTGGTCCAGCTGCAGAATCCTCCCGGCCTTTCAGCCGTCCTGCCTGAGCCCTCGTCCTGGCGAACCCAGCAGGGCCAGTCCTCCCTGACCGACACTGGCCTCGGCCCCCGCGCTGCACGGGCATGGGGGCGGCCACGAGGGCAGCAGGCACTGGCCCCCACGGTCTCTCGATGGCTCACGCAGCTGAGTCATCAACATCTTAGGATGCGCTGACCCTGAACATGGAGCACACCTGTGCACACCGACACGTGTGCACACACCTACACACCCGCACTCACACCTAGTGCAGCCCTCAGACTCACTCCCTCCCCCCGCTCCCCGGCGCCCTGCATCCCCGCCCCATAGAGGCCACCCCTGACCCCTCCTCAACCCTCAGCTTCGGACTCGTCCTTTCCTTCCCAAGACCTGCTCCCGTGGCACCAGCCCGGAGTCCGCCCGGCTCAGTCTCCCAGAGGGGCCCTTGGACACACACGGGGTCCGAGCTGCCCGTCACAGAGACAGCCTGCAGTCCAGCTCGCGGGGTGGCTGTGGATTCTGGAGAAACCCTGGTCACCTCACAGGTGCCTCTCTGGCCAGATACAGGGACAGGGCTGGCCACTGTCTGGCAGTCACCCCAAGGTCACTGGCAGGAAACGAACGGCTGGCGGCCTCAGTTTCCCCATTTGGTGATGCCTCAAGGTGCCCCCTGACCCAGGACCGGGCATCAAGGGAACGGCCCTCCAGGGGGATCAGGCCCTGGGTGGCCTCTGCCCCCAGCCCCTCCCGTTCCCTTCTCTCGGCACTGTCCCTCCCGTTGGGAGGGCGCCAGCCGGTCCACTGAGGGACGGGATTCTCTGCGAAGCTGGGGCAGTTGCCCGCTGACTAGCCGGGCAGGGGGCTGCAGCTCGCTCCTCTGAACTGATGAGTTCAGGGCCGCATCTGGCGGTGCATTCGGGACCCGCACGGCGGCCAGCGGAGCGCGGCGTGCTTCCTGGGGACAGGTCGGGGCACAGGCTGGGACCCGGGAGCTGACCGACATGTGCAGACCCTGACGGGCATCAGCTGGTGCCAACCTCATGTCCATGCCCGGGAAGGGGACGGCCTGACCCCCTCGCCCTACCCCCGCGTGAGGTCACGAGCCAGGTTGGCTCACGCTGGAGGCTGCGTGCCTGCAGGGTGGGCAGCACGGAGCCGGGCGGTGGGGGCAGCGGGTGGCGCAGGTGGGAGCGGGGAGGCTCCCAAAGGCTCTCAGGGACCCCGCACCCCTGACCACAGCCAGGGCGGCTCCACGGGGACAGGCGCACGGTCAGAACGAGAAAACGGGGAGGCCGGTGTCGGGCCGGGCCCCTCTGTGTGGCCGGGGAGAGGGGGAGCCACGCCTGCCTCGCTGGGCCCTCCCCTCCGGCCTGGACCCTGCCTCTCCCCCGGGGGGCATGGATCACGGGCATTCCCAGCCCCAGGCAGGCCCAGCTCCGTGCTTACGGGGGCCCGGCTGTGGCGCCCAGGGCTGGGTGTGCTCGGTCGCGAGGCCCAGACCCCGACTTCCCTGGGACGGGGCGGCCGCGCCATGCCTGCTGTGCTCTGGTGAGGGCCCGGGGTGCGGCCGGGGGCTGGTGATGGCACTCCTGGCCAGTGGCCAAGGGCTGTGCTGCTGCGCTCCCCCTCGCACCCGCTACCGGGCACTGCAAGCCTCTGTGCGTGCCCTCCTCCTTCAGCCGCAGACCAGACGCCCGGCCCGGCCCTGGGCGCCCACGCGTTCCTCTGGAGCCCCGCCCCGACCACGGCCCCACACTCCGTGCACTGGGGTAACTGTAGCCCCTCCCCCCGAGATGCCGCTGCGGGGCCCTCGTGGCGGTGCCCTCCCCGGGGGACTGGCTGCCCTGCAGCCCCCCAGGATCAACCTCTCCTCTGGCTTTACGTCCTGGCTTAGGCACCTCTCGGTGTCCACACGTCGGTGGGGGGCTCAGGACACACCTCCCGGGGAGCCTGTGGGTGCGGCCATCCCTGCCCGGGAGCCTTGGCAGGGAGCAGGGGCGCAGCCGGGCGCAGGGAGGGGGCGACGCAGCCACCCCGTTCACGGCAGCCCCAGGCTTGGACTTGGGCTGGCCTGGGGGCTCTGCCGTGAATGCGGTCGTGGGGTGCGGGGTGAGGAAAAGCACAGGGACCCCGGAGATGCCAGGGCTTCGCCTGCTCAGGCCCAGCTGGGCCGACCCCCAGCAGCTCCCCCACCGTGAACCCCGGAGCTTCTCGCTCCTGGGCCTGGGTCTGCCCCTGGCCGTCCAGTCCCACCTGAGCTAACACCTACCTGGGCTCAGGAGGCCTGTCAGCTCTGGGGTCACCCCTAATCCCAGGGGGCCAGGGCGTGCGGGCTCTGAGCCTCCCCGGATCGTGAGGGGCCCCCAGGGAGCGAAGGGGTCCCGGCAGTGAGGCCTGGACTCTGCTCTGACCTCTGTTGGGGTCTGGGGGCACATCTGGGGGCTGTGGGGTGTCTTCTTGGAAGACACAGGGGGCCCACGCAGCACCTGAGCCTCCGGATGAGAATGGGGCACAAACGGGCTTTGCCTCAACTAGACAGAGAACCCCCTCTTGAAGCCCCAGCTGGGGCGTGGTGGTCAACGTCCACCTGGCTTGGGTGGCCCTCCAAAGGCTCAGGGCGCAGCAGACCCCAAGGCCCCAGGCACCAGCCCAGACCTCACTGCGCTCCACCACACAGGGCCACGGGCACCCTGGCCTGGGACCCTCCATCTGGGTGCTTCCCGAGAGCTGGGTGGGCTCCCAGGGGCTGGCTGCAGGCTGATGGCCACCTGCGTGCTCAGGGCAGGGCTTGTCTCAGACAACAGTCGGGGCAGAAGGGCTGGGGTTCTGGGGTCAGTACCGAGGTCAGCAAATGAAGGAGGAAAGTTAAGGTCCCCGCGGTGGGGCGGCCTGGGAGCTCGTGGGCCCCTGCCTGCAGCGACCCTCTCTCGTGTCTTGTCCTGTCTGCCTGCCTGGCCGGGGCGGGCGGCCACCAGGTGGACTGTGGGCGAAGGGTTGGCCTGCCCCTCTGCCAGACTCCAGCCACCGGAGCAGAATTACCTTGCAAATATCCCAGGTTTACCCGATTCATGACATCACTGGCTGTTAAATTTGCTACATCCTCTAGGGAACACACAGGAAGAGGAACAGACAGAAACAGAGAGAGACACACAGGTGAGCAAACAGCGCAGAGGCGGCGGCAGCGCAGCGGGGAGGGGCAGGGGGCGGCTGCAAGGCGGGAGGCCCGTCTGTCCCTGAACAGAAGTCGGCCCCTCATCTGCCGGGCTCTGGTGGGGGGTGCGGGGGGCGAGGAGGCCCAGGGGAGCACCGAGTGCCCACCCAGGGGAGCACCGAGTGCCCACCCAGGGGAGCCTGCTCTGGGGCTCAGCCGGGCTGGAGTCTCTGCCAGTGCGTGACGTGGGGCCGTGAACACGGGACACCCGACTCGGAGCCTCGGCAGTCAGTGTGCCACCCAGAAGGGGGGTGACAGCACCCTCTTGGGGAAGGGACACTGAGAGGGGACAGAGGTAAATCGTGAGGCCGGGGTGTGGCCGGGAGGGGCTGGGCAGCTCTCATGGCCGGCCGTCCACCTTGGGCCCCGCAGACGGCCAGGTCCAGGTGACCCTTGGGCAGCTCCTGGGTGAAGCCCGAGCTGCCTCATCCCACTTGGAGGGGACTCGGGCCCCTGACCCAGGAGGTGGGCGCCCGGGGACAGAGCCAGGCCTGGGAAGTGGGCAGAGTCCCCGAGACGGAGCCCAGCGGAGGCCAGAGCCTTCACCAGACCGGGCGGTGGTGGGGTGCTTGGGCCCCTTTCGGCCCCATCAACGGAGGCAGCAACCCTGGAGTGAGGGGAGGGGACGGGCTTCTCTCCTCTGGCCCAGCCAGGGCACCCCAGGCCTGTTCACGGTCCCGTCACAAACTTCTCCTTAAGCTATGGAGAAAATCTGCCGATGAGGACAAATGCCCTGGCGGTGTCGCTGCAGGGAGGGGGTGGCTGTGCGCCAGGAGCAACGGTGGGGCCCCCGTGGCCCGGGAAGAGTGTTTTGGTGCTCGGCCGTTCGACTGGCGGCCCCCAGATCTGCCCCCGTAACCCCGAGCTCCAGCTGCTGGGAGGGCAAGGGGAGGGGTGGCCGGGGGCTCTGGTACTCCCTGCCACACTCTGTTTTTGTTCTCATGGTACGCAGCGGGCCCCCGTGTTTCTGACCCCAGCAGGACCGGCTGCAGGTGGCCGGTCTGTCCTCGACCGAGGCCTGTGCCCTTGGCTTTCGGGGGGCCCGACCCAGCCCTCCCCACCCCCAGCTGCCTCCTGCAGGAGAGCTGCCTGCTGGGCTCAGCCGGCCTGGGCCTTTATTTTACAGATGGGGAAACTGAGGCCCCAGAGTGGAGGGGTGAGCCCTTCCTTACGCGGAAGCTCCACACGGGGAGCTCTGACGGGCCGCGGGGTGGGTGCCCCGGCGGGCAGAGCGCGGGCCAGGAAGGCAGGCGGGCAGACGGCCCTGCGGCCTTACCGTAGCCAGTGGTGGGCAGCCCCAGGTGCTTCATGCGGTTCTTGACCAGCTCGGAGAGCTCCTGCCGCTCGGACCGCTGGTGCAGGCGGAGCCGCTGCTGGCTGATCTCCTCGGCCGCCGCCTTCCCCGTGTGCCGGGCGCCCTTGCGGCTCAGCCTCCGTGCCCACGGCAGGCTCTTGCGCCGCAGAAGCGGGCGCTCCGCCGAGCCGCCGCCCACCGTGTGCCCGCCGCCACCCGTGCCTGCCCGTGAGCCCCAGGGCCCCTGCGCCTCCCGGGTTTCCTCGTGGTGCTCCACGCTCACTGAGACCTGGGACTGGCCGGGGAGGAGGGGTGAGGGCCCAGGAGAGGAAGGGGACCCGGGCACGGGGAGGGGGATAGGGGATGGGGGAGGGGCTGGGACGGGTTGGGAGGGGTGCCGGGCAGAGGATAGGGTGACCCACGGAGCAGCTGGGGTGACAGGGAGGAGGACAGTCACAGCCCCTGGGGGCACCTCAGCCCCGGGACGCCAGTGCCTTCCTCTGCAGCTGGGCAGAGGGTGCCGGGCCACAGCCCCAAACCACTCAGCCGTCCCAACTGCTGGCTCTAGGTCTGTCTCTGATTTGCTGGTGAGAGGGGGCACCTCCCTCAACCTCTCTGGGCCCTGCATGTCCCGACTTTGCCATGGGGCGGGCGGGGGGGGCACCTCCTCTGTGCGACTCAGTTTCCTCATCTTGCGGGGCGGGAGAGAGTGGGGGTGGGGCGCATGGTGGGCTGGGAAGTGCCACGGCCTTGCGTGGCTCAGTCGGGGTGTGGGGCTCTGGGGGTGTGGAGATCGGGATGGACAGCGGGGAGGAAGGGGTACCTGCCAGGACGGGGGCCGTGGCACGAAAGGCAGATGTCATGGGGGCTGGGGGAGCCTGGGCTTCCCGTCCTGAGCCTCAGTTTGCCCGTCTGTATGGGGGCTGGGGTGATGCCAGGAGCCCTCTCTGAGCTGCACCTTGGCTGGTGCATCCTGGGGCCTCGCTCCCTGACCTGTCACCCAGAGCCCAGGGCCCCGCACCCCTGCCAGGTGGGACTCGTGCATGTTAAGTGAACCCCTGTGGGCCTGAAGGGACCACTCACCGGGGCTCTGAGGTTGTGAGGCTGGCTGCAAAGGAAACCAGGGCAGCCTGGGTACCTGTGGGGCTCCTGCCCTGACCCCCAAGGCTGCCTGAGCCCTCGTGGACTCAGGACCCGTGGGCAGGCCACCCTCTGCAGTTCCAGTGGGCGGCACAGGGGCCCCACAGTGCTCTCGAGCCGCCCCTCCCCCGTGGGGGGGTCACAGCCACCCAGGTCATGTCCACGTATGGAGATATGTGGGCCTGACCCCAAAAGGGCCTGACAGCAAAGGCCCAGATCCCCAAACTAGAAATGGGGCGGCCCGAGTCACAGAGAAACGGGGCCGCCTCGGAGAGCCCTTCC